GGTGCAGGCTCCTTGGGGGTGGTGGGTGCAGGCTCCTTGGGGGTGGTGGGTACAGGCTCCTTAGTGGTGGTGGATGCAGGCTCCTTAGTGGTGGTGGGTGCAGGCTCCTTAGTGGTGGTGGGTGCAGGTTCCTTAGGGGTGGTCAGAGAAGGATCTTTGGTTGTAGTTTCAGCAGGAACTTCGGGTGTGGGTGCCAAATCTTTAGCAGATGTTTTCTCTGCACTTCGAATCTCCTTAGCTGAAGTAGTCTTCTGTTTCTCACTGGTGGAAGTCTGTTGGTTTGTTACAGTAGTCTCTTTAGTTTCAACTGTTGTCTCTTTATTGGCTGTGGAAGATGTCTTTTTGGATGTATCAGAGTTAGGCGGAGGACTGGGTTTAGGACTTTCTGGCTTTATTGTTGTAGTCTTGGGAGATGTGGTAACTTTATTGCTTTGAGTGGTAGGAGTGTCAGGAGTTGGGGTGAGCTTGGGATCGCCACTGTCCAGGCCACTTCCAGCTTCATCCACAACTGGTGGTTCCTTTTTAGGTTCCTTTTTAGGTGGTTTTTTCTTGTCATCTTTTACTAAGGAAAAAACATACATCTTGTTATTTTTTAAGTTTTTTTTCTTTTCCCCTTCAGTAGTGACATAAAGATCCTTATCACTGACTAGTTGTGTGTTTCTGGACATATTGCTAACTTTTATAATTTATTATAAAATGGTAATATTCAACCTCTCTTCTGCTTTTCTTTTTGTATGTGGCTACATTCCCAGTCCTTTTTTAAAATTTTTGAGACAGGGTCTTGCTAAATTTTGCTGGAACTAGGCTCAAACTTGTGATCTCACTGCCTCAACACCCCCAGTCACTCATGCCACTATAACCAGCTCAAAATATATTTGGGGGTTACTTTAGGGAATGAAAATGAATAGATTTAAGCCATTCTGAAGTCACCAAAATGATCAGTAATACTAATTCATCTTTTTACATTAATGTTCTTTCTCTTCATTTTCCCCACCCCCACCCTTATTGCTCATTACACAGTGCTGCCCTTTCCCCCTGGAAAACTAGTTCAGGTAACTTGTATCACTACACCCATTAACTCAGGGGCCTCTGCACTTGCCTCTGGGAATGGGCCTCATTCTTCCCATAGGTTCCTGCTGAGCCCTGTTCCCATACATAGAGCTAGCTATTAGTGCTCTCTTTCCCCTGCTCAGCTAAACTTGACAGTCCCAAAAGAGGAGATTAGGATGCCAGAGCAGCAAAAAGGAGTTCCCAAAGTAGCTACCCAACAGGAGAACTACAAAGCCAAAGGGCACTTCACTGAGATGAATTCCATTTAACAAATATGTATTGCATTTCTACTCTGTGCATTTCTATTCTTGGAATGACTCAAAGACTAAATATCTGGCTATTTGGCTAGAGAGGATGCTTCACAACCACCTAGGAAATAAGAGTTTAAAAATTCAGTATTTCCTAGAAAAAGAACATATTTTAGAATTTCAGGAAATAACAAAGAGAAGAACAGAGGCAATCTCTTTTCAGGAGATAAGAGCATATTCTTTAGCACATTCTCTAGGAATAAATCATCAGATATAATTTATTAGGAAAATGAAGAGTATGTGTAAAATGTGGACAATATATTGCTTTTCTGAAGAGGTTTATGAGAGGAGGAAGAGGGCTCTTGATTATTGGTAAAGCACTTAAAACAGTATAAAAATGTTTGTTAAATAAGATAAAGCTGGGGGAGGACACACAAAAACACAAAGAGGAGGAAGGGAAAGAAAAAACTATCGGCAGACAGGAATCTCAGTACAACATGTCATCTCTGGTGCCATCCTGTGGTTCCACAGTCACTGCTACAGCATCTTAGCTTTTGCTTTCAAGAGTGGCTTCTTAGCTGCTTTGCACTAATTTCCTGTAGGAAGTATTCATTTGGTACTTTCTAAAATTATTTTTATGAAGTTTTGTATCCCCACCCCCGCATAATGAAAATATCTTCATTCTACTAACACGCATTACTTCTTAAAAATCATTGTTAATATGGCATTGATATAGTCTGTGATCTTTATCAATGCTCAAACCTTTGGGTTTCTTCTGTAATTCTTTATTAGCAGCTGAATTTTTGGAAGACTTGATTTTCCGAATAGTTGAAGAGGAAGAGGAAGAGGAGGAGGAGGACTCTTGGTTTTCAGAAACAGAATGTTCTATAAAATAAAAAGTTTGATCACACCAACTATGATTTAAAACAAAACAAAAAAAAAGTTGCCAGTTCAAATACAGTAAGAACTGCTGATAACTGATCTACATGCTTGTGTTCTGCCTTTATTATATGATCAACTGCTTTTTAATTCATCTGTTGAAAGCAAAGTGCCCTGGGTTTATCCACTCACTACCAATATGACTTTCAACTTTCCCACATATGCCAAAATTTCTCAGGAGTTAATTACTCTGCATAGAAAATCATGGGTTCCTTTTTTTTCCCCCATTTTTTTACAGCAAGATTTATTCCTTCTTATAACTTTAACCTAGATCCTTACTGGATTTAGTAAATATAAAAAGACTATATAGATAAATGCCTGGTAATTTATACTTTGGTTTAAACTGACTTAAAGCAGGTAAACAAAAAGTGTAATGAGCCTTTCATGACTCATAAGATTAGCCTCTGAGAATACTTTATATTGGTACACTACAGGTTATTTCATCTAGGAAATCTCCTGTAGTTACCTTCTGTCTTCTTCCTACCTTCTGTTATTTCCTCTGATTCTATAACTTTCTTAGTCTTCTTTTTTGGTGATTTGGGTGAACGTTTGGAGGTTGATTTGATGGTTTGAGATGCTCCTGGAGGCGGAGGTGCAGTCTTTGAAGGTGGTGGTGTTGTGGGATTGTGCACTGAGGCCAAGCAAGACAGGTCAGTTAACATCTGGTTTATGATCATCAGCAATGCTAACTGTAAAAAGCATGAGTGCATCTGTCTTCAAGAGTAGATGCTGATAAAATCCAGTGCAGGAAGGCTCTAGACCATAACACAGAGAAGTCCAAACCAACTAATTCTGAGGATGCATTGCTGTAAAATATTGATTCTCAAACTGTAGTAGGTTATAGCAGAAGCAAAGTCTCGGGAATCAGTAGACCTAAATGCCAGTGCTAAGCATGCACTATTAGGACCTTGGGCAAATAGGCTAACCTCTCATGAACTTTTCTCATCTGCAAACTGAGATGTTTATTCAAGATTTCTGAAGGTGTTTGCCCACCTTAAAAAAAATTGATTGTATGAGCTTCATCCATTGTGCCATCCTTCCATGATTATAAAAATAGTACTGCATGCAGATGGCAGGGTATTTATGGTCTTGAGGAGTATAATAATTATACTTTTTTGTTTTCATATGTATTTGAATCAAATGACGCCAGTTAATGTTTTCGATTGTCAAAGTTCTACATAAATATTATGAAAATTTCGCACTTCCACATTATACTTTTCCTTCCCAAAGATAAACAAATGTTAATTATTCCATGTGTATCTTCTTAACCTTTTATCTGCCCCCACAAACATACACACATACACAACATTTCTCCTTTTCATGTCTAAGAGTGAAGACTTGGAACATTTTTGATCAATAGAAACCAGAAGAAAAGGAAAGGGACTTTGGGAAGGTAAGGAAACAGCAGTGGAGGCCCTCTGGTAGAGAAGAGTTGTGATCCATCCTCCTGCTCCCTCCAAACATCTCAGAACTCTACTGCTCCGTGAACCGACCACTATCCCTCTCCATCTTCCTTCTCCCACCCAAAGATGCCAAGTATCCCACAGAGAGGAAGAGCTCCGCTACATACCAGTTAGCCATCTTGGACAAAACAGCTTCTTGAGCTCAATAGCATCAAAAGCACTTGGACAGCTATGACTTCCTTCAGCTCTTGAACTGTTAGGATTTCTAGATATCTAGATGCCTATAAGCAGTATCTAGAGCAAACCCTGAAATAACTTGACAGCGAGATTTAGGATAGTTTGCCATCTTTTAAAAGCAAAATACTGAAACTGTAGGTGGCGCCTTTATTTTCAGTGGGGATCCTGACATCCACTTGAATTCTGTAATTGAAGTTGACTGGCTTTGCTGTCATCAGTTTTTGTCATGAGTTCTGCCTAGACCTCAAGTCCTGTACACTTGGTGGCATGAAGTAAGGCCTTTATTTAAATGTTCTCTCAAGGCTTCAGGACTCTCTAATCACCTTCCCTCCTTCCATCCTCCACCCCAAATAAATTCTTAGGTATTTTCTGTCTCATAGCCAAAGCCATTATCAGGATAATGAGTAAATATGTATCTCCCACCATGGGGCCTTCTGAAAGCTGCAGGAGTGCTGAGCTTTGAGTTTTCTGATTATATGGGTGTTGTCTCTGTTCTTTTTGGAATGCTTTCCAGTGAAAACACTGAGCAGCTAGAAAATATCCCTCAACTCTGCTGATTAACAATTTCCACTGTTTCCCCACTGTTCTAAAGAAGCAGGAAGTACAACCTTGTTTAAATAAAATGATAAGATTATGTAAACATGCTTATTTTCACTATGACTTCCACAGATAGCCTCATTTTTTCTTTTTCCTTTTTATTTATTGTTCATTTATTATTATTATTTTTAAATTTCAGGTATCCTCATTTTAACAAAGTATGGTTTAAGAGCAAACATTCAGTCATGGAAAGTAATCGATTAGGTAAGTGTATTTTAAAACAAACTTTTTTTTTTTTTTTGCAAAATCTAGAGGATTTAATTATACTTAGAGTATTCCTTCAGAACTTATGACCAGGGAAGAAGATTTTTAAAAGAAACTATCTCTTTTTATTGACTTTATTATTCACAGGCAATTGTATAGAAACTACTGAGGGGACCTTAGGAATGAATGGGAAGTTACCTATAACTGACAGTTAACAACTTCTTAGTAGATTTGCCTGTAAACATAGTGGCTTAAACTAGTTCATAAATTTATTTGTCCAAAATATGTATTCAAACACTGACGGCCCAAAGGACAGACGATTTTGTAGAGTCAGTACCATTAGGATGAGACAAGAAATCACCAAGTGAGCTGATTACTATTGATTTAACTTGAAATTGAACCACATCAGAAGGAAAAAAGCTTATACACTCAACCTCTGTCTTCTCCATTACTCAACCAGTGATCTCTTGTGCTCCTGGAGCAATATCTGGGGCTGCAGTTATTGGAAGATATTTTTCTTCTTTAATTCATCTTTGTAGAGCAAAATTATTATTAAGCAGCTAATGCATTAGTAAAATCAAGACCCTAGGTACACTGAGGTTAGACATCATCAGTGAAGCTAAAGGCTTCAGATCTGGCTATACTACTGAGAAGCATTGCTGGGTACCATGATGCTTACCTTCTTCACAGAAAGTCTCATAGTCGGAACAGCACTTGCCAAACTTCTTACATTGGGAGTCACAGTCACACTCCCTCCCTCTCGAAAAGGACTCGAAGCAGCGACCTTTACAGGAAAGCTCTACCCGGAGCAAAACAAACACATGAATTAATGATACAAAGCCATACTTATGCATTTGGTAGCCATTTCCCTTCTGATAATTGACTAGAGTTCCAAAGGTGCATTTCTAAGTCTTTTATTTGGAATTTGAAGTACATCATCTAATAAACAATGGATGATGTCCCAAATGGAGACAACCTAAGTCAAAAAAGAAATATGGGTATTTGGGAAAATGTCACTTGTCCTTCAAGGTGCTAAGGGACATCCTAAGGCTGTCTGAGCCATTTACATATATGAATGCTGGGAACCTTTCATATGAGTTCCTTCCATCCCCCCAACACCATTGCTTTGTAATAGGTTGAAATAAGTTGAACACTCAAATTTTATGATAATATTCCAAAGAGCTGGTTCAATATAAATGAGTCACTGTTGAGGCTCAAAAATAATTGATAATGCAACTAGGCAAGGTATGGAATTGAAAGATTTCAGCCTAATCTCATGGTGTGGACTATGTTAAGAGAAGCCTGCTCATTTCAAAATCAGCCTTGGGTGGAGGTACAGAGACTTACCAAGGCCTACCTGAAATCATTTTTTTACCCAACACATAAACTATACAACAATATTCACCAGCTTCACATGCAAATTCTAAAGCAAATATGACTTTTACAAAATGATAATTTTCATAAATCGAGTATGAAGTGTTTCGAAGTTGATAGCAAAATGGCCCAAAATATGTTCAGGTGAAACACCATCAAAATCTAAAATTCAGACCCTTTGGGTTTTAACTGAAACTCATCATTAAACACTGGTGTTTCAAATTTAAGAGTGTCTTTTTCAGGTAATTTAAAAATATGTTAATATGAAAAACTCAGATTGTAGACAAGATTATTGTATGCCCAAGAATCCCTTTGATGAAGCTATGGAGAGGCCCCTCACTAAGCAATTACCCCTGTGTCAGTTAAAGATCACACATTGCTATTTACTAAATGACTCCTGAGTCACAGTATGAAATCTTTATGTAAAACAAAGGCATTTTACTGGAAGTTAGTCAAATAATTTTGTGCAAGTGACATATTTCCAGGCGTCCCTCCACTCCCCAGTCATCACAAGCTGTCATCCCATCCTTAGGTACAGTGACTGTGACATTTATGCAAGTGAAGGGAAAGGCACTTAAGCAAAGGAAGTGAAACAGAGGGAAAGCCACACTGCAAGGGGGCACAGGGGAGGCTCAGGGAACAGTGCTACGCGACAGCAGAGACGGGACTTACCAACAGTGCAGACTTTCTTGAAGTCAGGGCAGCACTCCATGTAGTGTTGACAGTTATAATCACAGTTGCAGATGGCATCTCTAGAATACCCTTCCCCACATCTCCCTGCACAGCTTGGTACATCTAAAATCATACAATACTAGGGTAAACATGGCCAAACCACTTTGAGAAAGGGAGAGAACTAATACGGAAAATAAAGCCAATGGGTGAGGGAGAATTTTATCAACTAGAAAATGTTGAGAATGATGGCTATGATTGATGACAAATGGTGGATCTCATGGAACCTTGATCTTGTCCCTTTAGTTTTCACTAGACTGAAAAGATAAATACACCTTTGACAACCAGGCAAAGTAAGGGCTTTGTGTGAAGCGCAGTATTCCTGGGGGAGGGGCAGCCACTACAGCTGCTGTGGCCGTGATGACCACAAGCTGCCATTTATTGAGCCTCTCTGGGCCAGGTACAGAGTAATACATTGTCTCTAATGCTTATGAAAACGTTTCCAGGAGAGTCTTAGTAGCCCTTTTAGATATAAAATGCCAAAACAGAAATTTTAATAACTTCCTCAATGGCACACAGCTACTTAATCGTTCCAATGTATATCTATTATAGGCCAATTACCTATTAATAGGTCAAAGACCAACTAATTATTCACACTGATCTCTTAAACTCTTTTAAGTATTCCTTAAAAGAGTTATTATTATTATTATTATTATTATATATTATTATTATTAATTATTATCCCTGGATAATAGATTATATGGTCACTCTAAGTAAACAACCCATCCAGAACTTGAACTCTGACATACCAGATTCTAAAACCCAAGCTTCTCCTACCCAGTTATGTTGCCTCTTATTCCTGATGATGAGTTTAAAGCAAGCTTGTTGGGACAGTACACACTTTGCTAGGTGTTCTCCTTTTTTAGTGGGGACAACAGAGAACCCTTGAAATAGCATCTGGGCATGAATATGAAGGTTATGAACAGAGTCTTTCTGGGCAAACTGTATTAAAAGCATAATTATCCTCAAATATTTCTAAAAGCCATTTGGAAAACAACACTTCAAAAGCCTCCCTGAGAGAGAACCACAGGAATGGAACAGTGGAATCCATCTCTGCAATAGAAATTGGCAGGTGCAACGTCCTAAATCCAAAGAGAGATGTTGCAACACACTGAAAAAATCTCAAAAGAGAATCCAGGAATGTTAAAGTCTTAATATGCAAATAAACAAGGAAGAGTGGGATAACTCTCAGAACTTTTGCATACATATATATGTGCACATATATAAAACTGCATATATAGTGTATGTATATAAATACATATATTATATATAAAGAAAAAAGAATGAGAAGAGGTTGAGAAGGCAAGATAAGCAGACAAAACAACACCAAAAGATTGTTCTTTTACATCTAGCAGATTTCTGAAATAAGAAATCAATTCTCTTTACCAGAAAAAATTAATTTTCATAGATGATATGTCTATTTTATTTTTTATTACTATTAATTACAACCACTAATTCTATTTATTCAAAAGAAAGTGCAACTTTCTGTGAACAAGCAATTATATCAGAAAGGAAAGGGTGATTTAGGTAATGTGCATCTTGGAACACCATTATGAGAGAGCCGTGGGGTCTAAGGATACCAGAGTGGCCATCAATCCAGATTAAATACTTACATTTGCTTTTCTGTGTTTGTGTTTTTGCAGTACTGAGGTTGGAATCCAGGGCCTTGCATTTGCTAGGCACGCTCTACCACCAAGGTACATCCCTAGACCTGGTTTGCTTGTGTTTTTTCATCTTGTCTGAGTGATTCCACACCTATGCCTACACAAGCAATAATCTCTCATGTTCAGGTTTCATGAGAATTTTAGCTATTTTACCAGAAAAGTCTGCTTTGGCCAGGCATGGTGGCACACACCTGGAATTCCAGCTACTTGGAACAGCTGGGACAAGAAGACCACAAGTTTGAGGCTAGCCTCAATAATTTAGAGAGACCCTGTCTCAAAAGAAAAAAATAAAATAAAAGGGTCTTGATTGTTCTTGGTGGTAGAGCATCACTGGGTTAAAAAAAGGAGGGGGGAGGAAGGAAGGGAGCGAGAGAGGGAAGAAAGGAGGGAGGAAGGAAAAGAAAAGAAATGTTAACTTTAAAAAGGTAACTTCATGGGGTTGAGGCTGTGGCTCAGTGGCAGTGCATTTGCCTGGCATGTGTGAGGCACTGGGTTGGATTCTCAACACCACGTATAAATAAATAAAATAAAGGTCTATCAACAACTAAAAAATAAGACTAAAAAATTTAAAAAGGTAACTTCATGCTGGGTGAAATGGAGCATTCCCAGCAACTCAGGAGGCTGAGGCAGGAGAATAGAAAGTTGAAGGCCAGCCTCTTTTCAAGGCCCTAAGCAACTTAGCATGACCCTGACTCAAAATAACTAAAAAGCTAAGTTGCTTTTACTATTTATTAATAGTAATAAAGGGCTAGGGATGTGGCTCATGGTTAAGTGCCTCTGGAGTCAATCCCCAATACAAAAAAAAGAAAGAAAGAAGAAATGTAACTTCACAATAATGATCCTGAGTCTTGATTTTTCTTCTCTTGGGTTTTATACATCAAATGGAATGAAAGGGGCTAATCTAAAGCTGGGAACTATTATCACTAATCCACCTAAAGCTTATGCTAGAGAACTTTGCAAACATGATTAGCTGAATATATCTTAACCCTCTCTAAAAATGAATAACAAAAATTGTTCATCTAGGACTGACTCTGGGGAGGACTATGAATGGTTCAATATTATAATACAAAATGGCATTTGTGGATGCTTCAGTTCGTATTTGGATGAATAATTCTGATAAGAAAGAAAGAATGCTTAATACTAATAAAATGCCACATGAAACATTGTAAATGTTCATGTAGTAGAATACCTAGGTCTACAAGATGCCAAATAATTTTCTTGGTGGAAAAAAAGAATAGTTAAATTTGTCAAAATATAGGGGGGAAATGTGACTTAAATATTGTTCTTTGCAGTTATTTTGGAGATATTATAGAGTTCCAGCTTAGTTTTGCCATGTAAATGTCTGAATTTTTTTAAACATTTGGGGGCACCATAGGAATAATGACTGCAAAAATTGTTTTATACCAAAACTCAGAGCTGGGATGCAGCTCAGTGGTAAAGCACTTGCCTAACATGTGTAATGCGTGTTAGGCCCTTGGTTCCAGCCCCAGTTTTGCAAACACAACAACAGCAACAAAAAAGCTCAAAACTTCCTGAAAGATTTCATTATGTAGGAGAAAAGGATGAGAATTCCCAAGCACTTACAAATATATTACATGTTTTGCATAACTTTAAGTTTATACTCAGTATTAAACTCAAGCAAATATCAATTTTTGAAACTCATTTTTCTTGTCATAAAGATAAAAAACTGAATGCTCATCAATAGTTGTTAAATAAAAATATTTTTGATGGTTAAGGTACCTTGAGATGAAACTTGCTGAATCAAAAAAACAGAAAGTAGCAGCAACAAGCAAATGGGTAGTATTTTCCACTCCATGGTTGTCTTCCGGTACTGTACCCTCACTGGAAATAAAATAAATGTATCAGAAAAATGCTCTTTAAACTCACCATCAAATAAATGTGTGTGTGTTATACCCAATGTTTCAGTAACTTTCAAAATACAGTTTAATAATAAAGCCTTTCCATTCTTGAACCTTTCATCAGCAGGAGGAATTCTATAGAAAATATTTGATCACTACATTTCCTTTTAGGCAGAACAAGTCATCAAGTCACCTCAATCACATTATTGAGCACTTTAATATGTTAGAAACCAACAAAATAGAAAATGGGCTTATTTAAAAACTCTATTCCAAGTTAGCATGTACTTACAGAGTAACCTTTAAATCCTACAATGGGAAACAAAATAACCAGCTTCAGTAAAATTTAACTTAATAAACATTATGGAGTTACTACTCTGACTTTTTCTTAACTCTCAATATGAATTTATAGGCTTCCAACAGGTGTATTGCATAAATATTATCCTTTTCAAAACTCTCCAACTACTATCCTTATAAATCTTTCTCAAGCAAGCACCTTAAATGAAAACACATTTAATCCCACAGAGCAAGTTAACTTTGACACTTACCCGTGAAAGGACAGATGAATTTCTCCAATGTCCTGGAAGTCTTATATATCAGTGCAAATACATTGGGATGAACCAATTAGTCCAAAGGTTAGACAAAATCAACAGTGACAACCTATGAAATCAAACTTTCCTCATTTATTGGAAGACAGCCCAGACGACTAGACTTAGGCAACATCTGGAAAACACTTCCATTAAGAAAAATGACTACTACAAAATAAATTTAGATTTATTGGCCAAAACACATTTCTAATTTCTAAGTGAAGTGAACAAATTGTTCTGAGATGGTAAATCACTCTGGCTGGCTTTGACTAATGGATCAAAGTAGCAAGTTTAAAATAGTCAAAAGCTGGTAGACTTAATACCAAAGATGGTATTAAAATTTATCTTCTGTTAGCTTGTGGCATAAATTTTCTAAATTTGTACCAATAAATCAAATGTACATGTCTTGAGTGTTTTCATTTCCACTTTTCCACTAAGCACAGAATATATACTGTCAATTACCTACAGGTAAATCATCCACAGGGCAAGGTAGTGGGAGGGTGGGCTCTGCTTAAAAACTATATAGCTATTTCCCTTAGCTCCATTTAAGACCAGCAGTGTTTGAAAAGATTTTCTAAATTACTAATTTAACTTCCTTGCCACAGAAAATGTGAACCATCAATCATACAGAGCTAAATCAGCCTGGCCCCAGGCTTTATCCCATTTTGATATGGAATATTCCTGTTCAAATCTTACCTACAACACAAGTCTCACTCATGTCCTAGCACCTCCCCCAAACCTTCCCAGATCAATCAAAACCACATCTAAAATCATAGGCAGCAAATATGTTTCATTGAAATTATCTGTAACTTTGCCTTCCACCTACAAAAGACTTTGATTTTTCCCAAAGTCAACCAATACCTGTATCTTAATTCTATTGCCAACTTATAATCCAGTGCTTCACCACGGTTGTCTATTTATACACACTCAGCATTCAAACTGATCTAGCCTGGATTCTGCCCTGTACTCTGTTTAGTAGATGCTATATTTAATTATCATGAAATACCTTTAAGTAAAATATAATCATCCACATCTTACACATAAGAAGATGAAGTGCCCCAACTGAAGAACTTGTGACCCATCCAAGGATCCATGAAGACTGGGAGCCAAGACCCAGACTTGATTCCATAGCTTTGCGTTATTGCCACTATATCCAACTCTCTTTTGATCAAAACCATTGCTTAGTACATAATCATTGTTCTATAGTTTACTCCTTGATATTTATATATGTTTATGAGATTGAGATTTTTTTTAAGGATAAGGATTATAATAAAAACATCTCTTTTGTTCCCATGATGCTTATTTCTGGGCTAGATACAAAGAGAACTTGGAGCTTCTCTTCCTGTCTCTTGAGGATTCCTTTCTCCTGGACCTCCCTCCCCATTGACAGGATTTTGTAGTTTTGGTTGCATATGTTGCCACATCAGCCACAGCTGACAGGCCTAGAAGTAGGAACTTGAACTAAAGTGGGCTAATATGTTTCCCTCTCCTGGAAATTTTAATTCAGAAATTACAAGTCTGTCTATGTAGATTAATAACATGTAAACTGCTACCCATGGTCTAAAGAAATGGAGATCTCTTAAGTCCTTAGAATAAAAAGATGGAAATGAATGAAGCAGCTATGCAGAGAGATTTCTAGTAAACTTTCCAAGTCCTGGTGACTATTCTTTAGACCCAACTTCTTGTTCCATGCTTTTATCATAAATTCTTCCTTTGGAGTTGTAGCTGGCAAGATGCTTTCTTGCTATTTAAAATCATAAATCAATTCATAATAGATTTATGAATTATTGATGGAGTTGAACTGAATTCTCTTAATTCTTAGGTTTACTGGAGTCAATAGAGGGAAACAAGAAGCTTTGTAACCTTCGAGTCAGACCTCTATAATATTGCTTATTATTTATTAGAAATTTTGGAAAAACTTGTGATCCTCCTACCTCAGCCTCCTGAGCCGCTGGGATTATAGCAAAAAAAAAAATTTTTTTTTTTGTACTGGGGATTGAACCCAGGGTGCTTTACCACTGAGCTATATCCCCAGCCCTTATTATGTTTTATTTTGTGATAGGGTCTTGCTAAATTGCTTAGGGCCTCACTAAATCACCAAGGCTGGTTTTGAACTTGTGATCTTCCTAACTCAGTTTCCCAAGCCACTGGGATTACAGGCATGCACCACCGCACCTGACCTGGCTCCTATTCTTAAATAATATATAAATTGTTCTTTGACCACTGCCTTTTGATCTATCCATACTGTCATTTTCCTCCTTTATATGAAATTCTTTATAGTGATGGCAAATGACATTCTTAACTTGATTGGCTAATATGCACTTGTTTTTTTGGGGGGGGGGGCGTACAAGGGTTGTACCCAGGGGTACTCAATCACTAAGCCACATCCCAGCCCTTTTTATTTTTAATTTTGAAACACAGTGTCTTGCTATTTCTTAGAGCCTCACTAAATTGCTAAGACTGGCCACCTTGCTATCCTCCTGCCTAAGCCTCCCAAATTGCTGGGATTATAGATGTCCACCATCACATCCAGCTATGCACTAGTTCTGAAATCCAAGTTCTAGGGTTGGAAAACTGACAAAGAAAATAAGCACAGATATATTTATAGCCAATGTAAGTTACAACCTTAACATTTCCATTAACATATTCCATTGTCACCAAATATATTTTCTCTGTATAATAAAGTTTGAAAAAGAATGACAGCAGGTATGGTGGCACATGCCTGTTATCCCAGCAGCTCAGGAGGCTGAAGCAGGAGGATCACAAGTTCAAAACCAGCCTCAGCAAGTTAGTGAGGTCCTAAGCAACTCAGGGAGACCCTGCCTCTAAATAAAATACAAAAAACAGGGCTGGGGATGTGGCTCAGTGGATAAGCACCCCTGAGTTCAATCCTGGTACCCAAAAAGTAAAAAATAAAAATAAAAAGGGCTAAAAAATAAAAATAAAAAATAAAATAAAAAGGGCTGAGGATGTGGCTCAGTGGTAAAGTGTCCCTAGGTTCTATCCCCAGTGAGAGAGAGAGAGAGAGAGAGAGAGAGAGAGAGAGAGAGAGAGAGAGACTATTAAATGCCTAGCTCTTTAGGTATACCTAATTATATTTACCTATGATTTGCCTAATTCCACTGAATAATGAATGAGGTTGCTTTAAGTTTCTCCTTGCAGTGTGAGAATATTTTTATCTATTAAATGTATTTTCATAAACTATACTAAACATTCCGTTCCGTATTGGTCCATTTAGCCTTCCTCGTTGGTCACCCAGCAATTGTCCTGTTAGGTTATAAGCTTTCCTGTTGCAATTTCATTTCTTATTAAAGACCTTTTCTCGATGTTCATTTAAATCTCATCTAATTGGGATTAGAAAAAAATATTGCAGGATTCGTTTCTGATGCGGAGGAATTGAGAGGAGGAGGGCAAAGAGGAGTGCGGAGGATGTGCATGGACCGGCACCCTGCGCGCGCTTCTAGGAATGACTTTCCCGTGGTGCCCGCCCGGTGCCTCGTTTAGTGTGTGGCAGCAGCACAGCCAGGGAACCTTCAAAGGTATGTGAGGATATTTCCTCTGCATTAGATTATCCCAGACGGTCGTCCCCTTCTGCTTGGTGTGTTAGCTGTCACCTTGCCCTGTAGCCAGAGCGTCTGTACCTAGTGGCTTCCCTCCACTTCTCCACCTTTTCACATCTTGGGTCTGTTTCATTTCCTTCCAGCAGCAGCCTAGGAAAAACTGAAGCATGCCAAGGGAAGATCACAGATGCAGGCTTGTTCTTTCCTGTGCAGATTCTGTGCACAGTGCTGGGTGAGTGCACTCCAGAGGTGGGCAACTACTGGCCTTTCTGTTGAAGGCATTTTCACAAACTGGAAGGGATTGTTTTGTTTTGTTTTGCTGTTGTTTCAAAGTCTTACCATTGTTGCCTAGCACGTGTAAGGTCCTGGGTTCAATCCCCAACACCACCAGAAAAAAAAAAAAAATCTAACCATGAAGATAATTGTAAGTATTATTGCATTTGCTTTTCGGTAGTCTGATATTTGATTCCAATCTTTTCAGTTTTTCTAGTTGCTCCTCTAGAAACTACATTTCCCAGTTTCTCTTTTATTGTGACTTTTGACTGTGTTTTCTCTGATGAAGGATGAGACAATGATGGTGGTGCACACCTGTAATCTCAGCACCTCCAAGTTCAAGGCCAGCCTCAGCAACTCAGTGAGGCCCTAAGAAACTGAGTGAGACCCTGTCTTTAAATAAAAAATTTAAAACTCCGGGGATGTGGCTTAGTGATTAAGTGTCACTGAATTCAATCCCCAGTACCAAAAAAGAAATGAAGAGAAGTGACCAACACATACCATCTAGGCAAGGACAGTAGCCTAGGGAATAGTAAATAATAGTCTTTGTAGGATTCACATACTGTCTGCACTCAGAGAGTTACAAAAAAGGGGGAAAAACTATTTTATTTGAATAACTTTATTTTGAGGTCTTTAAAAAAATATTCTAACAGAGAAATAAAAAAAATTCTCAGATCTTTAAAGGGATTATATTCTAAAAACAAAATACCATACAACAATGTAAAAGAATGAACTGTTCGTAATGAACTATTGATATTGAAAAGCAAGAGAGGGACTACGTTTATTGGCAGATGACATGATTGTATATACAGAAAATCTTAAAGACTCTACAAGTAGCTGTACAAACTAACGAGTGAATTTATCAAGATCACAGGATATGAGAGCAATAACAAGAATCATTTTGAGTTCATCATAATGCATTAACTCAGACGTGTATGAAAAGGCAACCCTTTCTGCTGAATTTTCTAATAATGAGTGCATTTATTGAATTTTTGTGAACTTTATTGAATAGTGATTACTATGCCAACCTTAGTATTAATTGCTGGAAATACATATATGTGAAAGATAAAATCTCTCATTTCCAGAATTTCTTGGACTAGTCAAGGAGCCAGATATTTAAATATGCAATTCAAAAGGAGGGGCAGTGCGGTGAGCAGCTGGAGTAGGGCTTTGGCATAATTAGACCCTCGTTCAAATCTCAGTCTCCAAATTTTCTGTCTGATTGGTTTTCACAATTCTCTTGACTATATAAACCTCACTTTTCTAATTTGAAAAATAGTAGCAATGATTCCTGTTATTTTTGGCATTGTAGAAATTTGTAAAATATTAGAGAAATATGTTGAACATTAATGGCAAGTACTTGATAAATTACAGGTCTTCCGTGTCTTTGGCTATCATGGGGATTTCAGAACTGTGCACAAACTGTGGTGCAGACGGATTAGGAAGTGCCAGCCCCACCTGAGGGAACTCTTCACAAACGAGTGACCTGTGGTCTGCTTTCCAAAGGTCCCTATGCCTAGCAACAAGGACAGTAGCCTCAGGTCATTATTATTGGAAAAATGATATAGATCCCCCTTTTCATTCTTTTTAGCTATTTGATTTTTAGTTCCTGACAATCTGGCTGGTTCATGAAACAGAAGAACTTGGGAAGATTGTTTTTAAATGGCCTTATAATCACCTCCATCCAAGCATTTTCTAATCTAATAACATTAGATTAGAAAGACCATTTTACTAATCTAATAACAGGAAACATATTGAGCATTTATTGTGTTACAATGAAGAAATGAATGAACCTCTCCACGATCTTGTGACATAATATAATTACTATTATTAAACCCATTTTGCTTTTGAGATCAACTAGGGCACATAAAGAATAAGTATCTTGCTCAAGATCCCAAAGCTAGAAAGTCAGCAAGTGGTCAAGTTAATATTTTAACCCACACCTGCCTGACTCCAAAGCTCATATTTTAACCAGTTCTATAACCCACATGCTATAACACCCAGGGTTGATATCTACCTTCTTTGTGCACCTCTATTACTGTATTGGTATATTTCCAATGGCATCTCACGCTTACTAATATCTATCTTTAGCACAATGTCATAAACATCCTAAGGTTCTAGAAGGATTACCTCTTGTTCATTTTGTAGCCTTTTCACAGCTACTATAGTTTCTCCTTCTATACAATTGGAACTGCAGAGTTGTTATTTGAATTAAATCAAGGTGAACTGACTTCCTTCTAATGGACATTTTGCTATCTGTGTTACTATAGCACTTTGATAATTCAAGTCTACATCTCTTGGATTCCAGATGTCAAGGAACCATACATGTGACAGCTCAGACAAAATCATGACAGACTGACTTCCCAGTAGCCAACAACATGAGTAATTCCCACATAACCAATTTAAGTGAGAGTGAATTTGGGGTGCCATTATAACTCAGTATGACAAATACTTGAGATTCGGGAAATTTAGAGAGTCAGGGCAAGGTCTGGGTGTGGCTGGAAGACCACAGATAGGTGGGACAGGAGAAGAATCTCTCAAGAGACAGTTCATTGAGTCATTCCAGAACAGGAACACCAGGCTCTTCAAAGATATTGAGTAGAATGTAGTTTTGGCTGCTTGTACAGCATTGCATAATAATGATTTTTAAATCTCTTTCCTTGTAAAGGGAGCTAATTTCTGTCAAATAGATCAAGAAAGATATCTGTGAAGAATTGCCTCTGTGAAATTTTTATTAAGCTGAATACAGGAAACTTAATCAGAAGCTTAAAGTAAAAATCAATATTTCTCCCTGTTGACCTTTGTTGCTGAACTAGACGGCACAGGATCTCTACATCTCCAGTGGCTGTACAGATGCTGGTCGAAAGAATTCATGAGTAAATGTTACTGCTAATGTTAGCGCTTGCTGTGCCTCTCCCTTGGACTAGGGAGGAGGACTTTGCTATGGACAAGCCAACAGGTTCCTCCTATGTATCACTTAGACTTTGAGATTGAAGGGATAGAGAGCAGAAATAGGACAAATGGAAATTTAGCCATTCTTTTATTTCTACTCTGCTCTTTGTGCAGAGAATTCTTTTATCATGGGGACACGGATGGAAGTCAGATGCTCTGTTTCCCCAAGTCTTCCTGGAAGAACAAGTGAAGAGCTGTGATCTCCAGGAGGCAAGCTCAAGGTCATGGTCAGTCTGCAAGAATCCAAGAATATTGTAGAATTTGAACAACTCTCCACTAACATTTATTGAGTCTCAGTTACTTATCAGGTATATATTTTGATTAAGGCAAAAATAAATAAAAACAAACAAAATAACACAAAACATTGAGTTAGGTTTTTTTTTGTGTTAGTCTCATATTACAAATAAGGAAGCAAGTAGCAAAATTTCAGTAGCTTTTCCTGTGACAGTGGCAAGATCAAGATTTCAGCCTATATTTGTCTAAAAATTATAGGAATAGATTTCTGTTAAGATTATATTTCAAATTCTAACAATGAATTACTATAAGGTCCCAAGAAAGCTTTGGGAAAAAATAACATTTTTTTTTCAGCTTAAAATATGGGTGTATCTACCTTCTTCATAGGTGGGCTGCCTTGATAAATTCAATAGACTATGACAAGTAACTCTACAGCCTCTAATCTGCTTTTTTATTTAATTATAAAAACACCTATAATAGGGGCTAGGGCTGGGGCTCAATCGTAGAGCACTCGGCTGGCAGAGTGAGGCACTGGGTTCGATCATTGGCACTACATAAAAAATAAAATAAAGGTATTGTGTCCACCTACAACTAAAAAAATACATATTAAAATGCCTTTAATATTTAAGTTAATGCCTTCATACTTTAGATTGAATTTATTAAATATCAGTGGTATATTTTATTTATTTATTTTTTAATTTATATATAACAGGGGGATGCATTACAATTCTTATTACATATATAGAGCAAGGCTGATTCATAGTGGGACAGGGAGAGGGAGCATGGCAGGAATAGACGAACTCTACAAACGGTAGAGTGGTAGGAGGGGAAGGGAGGGGCACGGGGTAATTAATGATGGTTGAATGTGATGATCGTTATTATCCAAAGTAGATGTATGAAGACACAATTTGATGTGAATATACTATGTGTACAATCAGTGGCATATTCTAAGGGTTAATCTTCCTACTTCGTCCTTTTCAATGGTGGGTATTGAACCCAGGGCCTTGTGCTTGCTAGGCAAGTGTTCTACCACTGATGGTCATTCATTTTTTCTATTGTTGGCATGATATTTCAATCCCCACCTAACTATCACTCTGTTGTTGATCACTATACGTGTCGTTTCTTTTTTTATTCTTACAGTAATGCTGTAATAAACTTTTTTTTCATGTAGGAGGTATTGAATTTTACCTTTAAAATAAATTTTGGGGGTGAATCTTCATGATTTTTTTCTTTGTCCACGTTTTTATTGGTGCATTACAGTTGTAGATAACAATGTATCTTATGATTCTTGGTAAGTACAAATTATCTTGTTGTCTAGAATGTAAATTCATCAAAGGCAAAGAAATTATCCCATATAAGTTTGCATCCCCAGCACCTAGCAGAGAATTTGGCCGTTAAGCAGTGTTTGATAAAATATCAGGCTGAATTTAATGAAACTATAGGATGGTCATCAGAATGACAGGCATTATAAAAACTTTTTTTTTTCTTTCCAACAATGGAAGTGAATTGGCACGTCCACTCCGTACTCCACAGTTATTCTTCCCTCTGACAGCTTTTGTCTGTAGGCAGGAGACTGAACTGATGGTTGGGGCCTCTGTGAGTTATAAACCCTATAAGGTATGGCACAGTATGGGGAAATAAGTGACTTTACTTTTTCTTTCTTTTTTTAGACAGAATCCAACTATTTGTCCAGGCTGGCTTCATAGTCACAATCCTTCTGCTTCTGAGTGTCTGGAATTATAGGTGCCCCACTGACTTTTGAAGGAACCTTCCACTGAATCAGAAAAGCCAGACTCTGCCCTCTGCAGCATTGCCAACAGGATCTGCTGTCTGCTTTGGTTCTTATTTTATTCTTATCTTCAAGCATTATTGCTACCTATATGAATGTTAACATGTTACCAGAGGCCCGACTCTGGGGGTACAACACATCAAGTCATGCCACTTGCCCCCAAGACAAAACAGAAAAGATAATGGCGAAAAGCATGAAAGGACTTTTAACCAGTGTAGCTACACCCAGAAAACAAGGAGACCCATGACCTTAGCCCTGTCTTCCAAGGGCAGACAATAATTTTGAGGTTTTATAGAAAATGGAATGAGATCAAGTGCTAGGGGTTCGAATAGCTGCAGGCCTTTCACAGCTGTCAAGGCAGGGATCTGGATGGATCAGATGTGGTCTGATCTTTCATCATCTCAGAGTTGGTCAGGCAGAAACTTGTCATTGATAAGAAAGTTGCTGTTGATAAGAAAGTTGCAGTTGAGGTTGCCGTGGGGTAGGTTTAACTAGCCCCAAGATATTTATTCATCAGACCTGTTGTTCATGGAATCTAGGTGGCACAACATGGAGGCAGAAATGCCAAGTCTTTAATCCTATCACCTAGTGGACATTGGTGGGCAAAATTAAAAAGTAAGTTCTTGTTACAAGGAAATCAAAGTAGAAGGTCAGAGTTGAGGCAAGTAGCCAAATACTCATTTCTTTCCTGCTACCCTTTATCTGTTTCATGTTTCTTGCAGAAGAGGAATGTGAGGGATTTACGGAGAAAATAAATGAAGGGCCAAAAAAGATAAGTCTTGGTATAAATAGATGAGTTGGTCTTGCACAAAACCATCTATCACATATCTGGTAGAAGGCAGATAGTAACATGAGAGGCAGGTAGAAAAAATTATATGGATGCCAGTAAGACTAACCTTGGAATCGCCTAACATTTTTGGGAAACTAGTTGCGCTATTTTGTGACTGTTTTTGGATCTAGGAAATTTAGCTACTACAAGAAAGCAAAGAAAACATGTTTTAAAGATGTTATGATCTGGAAAAATCATTTTTTTTAACTGTAACTTACCTTGCACCCCCATCTTATCTTCCAGAGAATGACCAGTCTTACAAGATTTAAATAAGCCCTCAACAAAGTTGAAGGAAGTTAACATTCAGGGACTCTTCATAAAAAAGAAAGGTAGTTCCTCCATTCATTCCATCCCCACCCCCCACTATGGTTCAGCATCCACTTATCAGAGAAAACATTTTGGTTTTTGGGATTTGCTTTCTTTGCTTAGCATGATATTTTCCAACTCCATCCATTTACCTGCAAATATCATTATTTTATTCTCTTTTAATGTTGAGTAATATTCCATTGTGTCTATGTACAAGTTTCTTTATCCATTCATCTGTTGAAGGGCATTTAGTTTGGTTCCATAATTTAGCTATTGTGAATTGTGCTGCTATAAACATCGATGTGGCTGTGTCACTGTATTATGCTGTTTTTAAGTCCTTTGGGTGAAAAATTGTGCTCCATTTGTGTACAATGAATCAAAGAACATTCTGTTGTCATGTATAACTGATTAGAACAACAACAACAACAAACCAGTCAGTGATTGTAAACTTGTAGGAGAGTATTCTTGATTTTTGTTAACTGTACTTTTGTGGCCTGAGACGAGATTAATATGATTAAAATTTTATTTACATGTAAAAAAAGAAAAAAAGAAAGGTAGGAGGAAACAGAGGGAGTCAAGGACAGTTGGAGGAGAGTGACTGAGAGGGGAAGGGAGCTCAGATGGAATATTAGTAAAGCTGAAGAGGGAATTTAGATACACAGCAACTGACCAAGGAGGTTCATGAAGTCCCGTAACTCCTTCGCTCCCCATTTCTTCCAAAGTCTTTAATGAATCCCATGATGTTCACAGAGGCTTTTAATCAGTGGATTTATTGTAGTGATTAGGAAAATTAAAAAGTGGATACTCTTTGATATATGCATGGCCCTGGACAAAAGGGGAAGCTATATATGGGGGTCCCTCATACTTCACCCCTAGAGTTGCTGAATAATGAGATTACCCCCGATATATAAAATATTAGGGAAAGATACTTCATCAGATTTGTGTTCAGAGGCTTATACTCACAAAGAAGGATATGGGTGGAAGCATAAATAACTCTAATAAATTAAGGAATAATTAAAGGTAATTAATGTGTTTAGTGAACATCTCTGACTTGGAGGACTAGGGTGCAGAACCCTGGCACCTGCCTCAGGGCCTCTGTCTGGGTTCGGGGTCCTGGCCAGGATGATTGTAGGTCTGTCCCATGATGCAGTTATAGAGTCCTGGGCTGAGTTATATAGGATAGAATAAAGAACGATTCAGATTTTTGTTTATATTTTATTTTTACCTTTGACCAAAATAATACCTAATCATGCAATAAAGACATGATTCTAAGAGCAAGTGAAAGTGTTGAGATACAGGAAAATTGCTGTAAAGGGGGAAAAAAGGTGAGGGTGGTTGTTTGTTGTTCATGGATCATGGCCAGTTCCTTCTTTTTTTGTTAGTGATTCTTATAACTGGTTGCGCTGTTATAAACTGGAATAATGTCTACTGGTCAAGTTGACTCATTGAAAAGATGATGGGAAACTGGTCAACAAACTACAGCAACTTTTGGATAATAGGTCACTTTATATTTTCTGGCATAAGCTATTCTTCTTCTTCCGTTGCTCCTAGGATTTCACCTGGACATCCCTCTTCTGCTTTATTGCATCAAGGAAAGTTGGGCTCTATTCTGATTTTTTAAGGGTCTTACAGGAAGCAAGCCTATGAATCAAAGACTCAACGGAGTGACCTAATTGCTAGTCTAGGCTTCCTGCCACTGGCACCTCACCAAACCATTCACTCCTTCAGAAGATTTCTTTTCAGAAATTGAGAGCACTAATTATTTGCAGCTGTTGCTGCGCTTGCTGTGACAACCTGAAGGGCTCACCTGAGCCGTCTGGCAGACCCACCAGAGAATCCTGTGGAAGTCAAAGATGGGGCATATGGAAATTATAGGAGGAGATTCCTCAGAGAAATCAGAAAAATCTCAATAGGATTATATATTTTGCTTAAAAGCAGGGAACTCTGGATCTGTTCGCTTTAGAGAGAAAGTACCAGCAGGGAATTATAGACCATAACAAAAGTAATGATCAGTGAAGAGGATGAAGGGAGAGAGGACGAGTCACCACTCTGAGACTGGCATCCGGGAAAGCAGTGGCTTGTGGCTGGCAGGTTGGAAGTGGAGCATAACCCAGCCCCTTGGATAGTTCAGAAACAACCATAGTGAGTGGAAATGTTACACCTGGTAGCAATCTCGGGATGGGAATGGATCAGGACTGACCTGGAAGGAAGTGAGATCCTACTGGGGACTGACTAGGTGGAGCATCACCTGTAGGACATTCAACCAAAACCCCCAGGAATGGGCACCCTTTAACCGAGAAAGACCTGGAAATATTATTCCTTCAACCCTTTCTAAACAGAGACTGAAGAATCATTTTGAAAAGTTAGGAAGTTGGGAGAGATGTCTTTTTTGTTTTATTTTTATTTTTTTTTTGAGTCCAAACTATTCCATCAATGTCGCAAAGAGTCATAGTCAATAATTTTTAAGACATCAAAGAGTTTTCCTGCATTTTTGAAAACCTATGCATATTGAAAAATACTTTTATAGTTCACGTCAAGATACATTATTCTAGTCACTCAGAGAATAGCTAGAGTTAAATCATTCTAGGTTCTTGAATGGCAAAGAATATCCTTAAATGAGGATGCCTAGGGAAATTTACTATGATAGAATGTTCCCCAAAGAGTTCATGTGTTAGAGCAACAACGTTCAGAGGTGAAAAGATTGAAATATGAGAGCTGCAGTGGATTAATCCATTTGATGAATTAATTCTAGTGAATTGCTGGTACTAGAGGCCGGTGAGTGTCGCTGGAGAAGTAGACCACTGCAGGTGTGGTCTTGGACTATGTCTGTGTACGGTCCTTCTGCTCTCTTACTCTGTGCTTGCTGGCTGCCATGAACTCGGCTGTTTCTTCCACTACACCTTCTGCTGTCACCTCAGGCCCAAAGCAATGGAATCTGCCATCCATGGATTAAGACCTCTGAAACTCTGAGTCCAAAGTAAACTTTTCCTCCTCTAGTTTGTTCTTGTCATGTCTTTTGGTCCCAGTGACACAACGCTGACTAACACCTTTACACTGTGTTTTTCACAAGTTGCATTACATAAGCCATCTTTCATAAAATAGAAGACAATGTGACAGCTCACCTTGCCTCTTTGGGTTAATGATTACAGAGTGGAGGTGGGGGAACTATTCTCTATCACACATCAAACTGTGGCCTGGATTTACTAACTGGGCTGACTTTTGAATCTACTACTATTTTCCCTTAAGAGGCCCTCCCCTCTCTTCCCATCAGGGACAGACGTTCTGAGGTCCTGGCTCCTTAATAGAGCTACCCCAGATGCTCTATCATTCCTGTTAAAAGGAAAGAGTAAATTCAACAATGTGACTGACGAAGATTTAAGTGTTCGCCCTCTCTGTCCAATTTGAGTGGTAATAAAAATCATTAAGCCTCATTAAAAATATAAGCAATTTCTCAGACAAAATCATTATAAGACAAAATCATTATAAGGTATCAAAATTTCTCTTCAAGCCCACATCAAGGGAAAAGTTTTCTGGAAAGCCAATTGAATGATTTATCTGTTGGTAGAAAGACTTAAAGTGAAAGAAGAGAGCATAAACTCTGATTCGTAGATTGGGTAAGGAAATTTTAAAAATGTAGTCTAAAATCATCAGACTCAGAACTGAGGATCTTGCTCAGTGATATAGCATGTGCTTGGCATGATCAAGGCCCTGATAGTAAATAAATAAATAATCAAACTCTTCAAGGGATCAAAGATTATAGTTTATTAGGTTGCTTCTAGGGTTGATAGATAGACATGGGGTTCACAAAAGGATTGCTTAAACTCATTAAAATCTATCAAGTAAAATTCCAATTTCTGTTCAGATACAGCCACTGATCACATTCGATCATTAACTTTTGCTTCAGCTTAGAACTGGAACTAATTTTTTTTCTCATATGTAACCTGAATATTATTTTGTACCTTTCCATGATCTGCATTTTTAAATATTAACAAATGTTCCATTAACAAAGAGAGGATGACATTTTCAAAAAAGCAAGGAATTCAATAATTACAACTACAATATCGATCTTTAGCTTGACCCCTTGAGTGAAATTGATAAGTGAGATGTCATATCTTGACTTTAAACTTTGGGAAAAACAGCTTCTGACCAATTCAGTAGACAGAAAATTAGAAGCAGACTACAGTAGGCTTTTGACTACCAGACAATTTATTTCTATACTCATAAAACAATGCATAGAAACAAAAATAAAGTTTGGAAGCAAATCCAAATAATACTGTAACACTTAAAAATATAAATACACTATATGGTACTGTAACACTTAAAATATAAATATACTATATTTGCATATTTAGTAAAAAATAAACAAAATCACCACATGAAGTTATATAGATATTGTTTTGTTCTATAGAATCTTTGAAGACATTCTGCTATACTATGAACTAGAACGGAGCTGTGAATTCCTAATCTTCTTGGTGGTCTCTCATAAGCTTTTGTAAGCTATTGAAAGCTGCCTCTGTAGATAGTGAGGCTATTGTATGAAAAGCCTTATAATAAAGTAGTTCAAAAGAAGCCTTTACCAATCACCAGTTGTGTGAATTTATGTGAATTATTTAATCACCCTGTGCCAGCCAAACTATTAATGCAGATAAAACACTTAGAACAATACTACCTCTATAATGAATACTAATGAAAGTCAACTTCCACTATCATTGTTTTTTTTATTTTTATTTATTTTTTTTTTTGTACCAGGAATTGAACCCAGGGGCACTCAACCACTGAGCCACATCCCCAGCCCTTTTGTAAAAATATTTATCTAGAGACAGGGTCTCTCTGAATTGCTTAGTACCTCTCTAAGTTGCTGGTCCTGTGCTGGCAACTGGAAGCTGATGATTGGCTCACAGCGGTCCTGGCTTTGAACTTGCAATCCTCATGCCTCAGCCTCGAGCCACTGGGATTACAAGTGTGGACTAATGCACCCAGCTCATTGTGGTTTTCATTAATTTATTTATGTGACACAAAGATCCACAGTAAAAAAACAAACAAAACCAAAAAGCTGTCTTGAGAGACTTAACAAATTATCATATGGACTATTACAGCATTTTCTGACAGAAAAAGAGTTTTAAGTAGAGAAAAGAAACATACAGGTTGGCATCCTAGGAGTTTACCAGTACATTGTGCAATTTTTCAAAGAATCTTGTCTAGATTCTCCACATTCCTTCAATCCTATCTAACCCCTAGGTCATACTTAAATGTGAAGCTCAACTCTTTCTGTAGTTTTCACACACACACACACACACACACACACACACACACACACACACACACAAATGCAATAATTCTGTACATACAATATTTTTATATTTGTTAGCTTTTGTGACAATTTCACAGGAAATATAAAGGAGATTCTTTTTTTTGTTTGTTTGTTTGTTTTTCCGTCTGCCAAATCTTTGGGTCTTTTCTCCATTCTTTATAGCCTCCCTGGATATATTATGACAGTGGTTATGATGATAAATAAGTGTGCTCCATATATGTTAAAGTAGTAATTATTCATACTGGCAGCTACAAAGTTTACAGCTAGACTTATGGCTTAACTATATAATAAGAATCTCTTGAGTCACATAATTGTGACTCAGTTCCATCAAGTGGAGTACAAATCAAATGCTCCAATGAAATAAATTCTTTAAAGGTATAAAAAGGACATAGGAGATACGTTAACATCAGTTTTATAGATGCCAATCCTATTTTTGTCTGACATATTAAATGAGTATGAACAGTAAATAGTTTTTGAGAATGCAGATGTCATAAACCAAATGTTTGGATCCTTCTCAAATTCTGATGTTGAAATCCTACTACAAGGTGATGGTATTAGATGTGAGTTCTGATAGATAATTTAGGCCATGAAAATAGAGTTCTCATGAATGAGATTAGTGCCCCCACTAATGGGAAAGAAACCTCAGAAAGCTCTGGTCCTCCTTCCACCAAGGATCCATGAGAAGATACCAGCTCTCAATTTGGATGAGGTTCCTCCTCAGAGCCCAACTATGCTAGCACCCTGATCTCAGACTTCAGCTTCCAGATGGTGAGAAATACATATCTGTTGTTTACAAGTCCCCCGGGCTGTGGCACTTTGTTATGGCAGTCTCAAGTGACGAAGACAGCAAGCATATTAAATGTTTGCAGCCTGTACGTAAAAAGTCATGAAAACATCCTACCAATGTCCAAATGATAGCCTACTCACCAAATCTGAGAAGAAAAGTGTGTTGCAATAACTGTCACAACATTGTTAGTGAAATAGGGCTGGCAGTGTAGCTCAGAGGTAAAGCAACTGCCTAGGATGTGTCGGCCCTGGGTTGGATTCCTAGCCCCACAGGGGGACAAAAAAGGAACCTGAAATAAATCAGAAATGTGAGATCAGTTAGTTTGAGTCTTCACATGGGAATGAAGGAAGGGAATATTTGTTTTCTCTTTTTCTGGGCACAAACGGGGGTTGCACTTACCAGCATGTTTTATAATTGGGCAGTCATGTGACCATGAAATGGATTATAGGAAGAAGTGACTTATACACCTTTCATTCTGGACAGAGCAGAAGATTCCAAAGCCCTGGGTGATGGCAGGGCAACCCCCAAGAAAGAAGCCTGGATCTCTGAATGACTCTGATTCAACCCTCTCAACCCCGCCTCATTGGACTGTGCCATGAACCAGAGACAAACTTTAATCATGTTATAGAAATTTGGAAGGATTTTTTTTTCAAACACTAGTTAGCATAGCCTGATACAGGCAGAGTCTTATGAAACTGGTAAAATGTAATTTGATTTTTCTTCTGGTGAAGTAGAGTTGCACCCTTGAGATAAAATTGAAAAGCATTCCCATCTCTGGTGAGTAATTTTATGAAGTGCCTGTGGCAACTAGTTAAAAAAGAGGCTGAATGGAAAAATCTTGCATCAATCTCTGAGTAGTGTTATGTCTTTTCAGCTTAGCCAGCCAAAATTGATCCTGAACTTCCACAGTTTGGAAATCTCCAAACATTATAGTGAGCAATTGCAATTATACCATCCCACAAAGTATGACATTTTCTAAAGTATGAATTTCGCTATTATGTTTTGAGAATATGGAAGATATTTCCCTGCCACAAATCCCTGGCCTCAGTGGCCTCGACACACCAGAAGGAAGCCTGGGGACAGTCTCTGAGTGCTAATGTTCTAAGAGAAGAGTCTTCCCCACAATCATCTCCTTTGATCTCCCTCTTGGAATATAGGTAATCATGTAGTTTCCATAGGGTTCGGCAAGTTAGGAAGATCTCTGATCCTTGGAAAGGTGCTGTGGACAGGAAATTGCTTAGATAAAGGATCCAAAAAAACAAAACTTCATAATGCAAAATATTTATATACCAAAAAAAAATATTCTCTGTAGTCAATACCCTTTATCCTCTAAATAATTTCCAGATACCTCAGGGTACTCATGTGCATTATGGCCTCTTCCCCTCCACTCTCCCCTAGCAGCTTACCTCGCCCCTGAGTCCTCTCTGGTCTTCAGTCCCTCATGCTCTTTCTCAGCGGCAGTTTTCATTGTGCTTGTTCTTTCCCTTCTTACTGCTGATCCTTCCTTCTGGTTCTATAGCTTGTTAGTTGAACAGAGATTGAGAGAGGAAGATGATTGGGGTGCAGGAAGGGGTACTGGGAGGATTCAAAGGATTTAGTCATGTGGACCTTTCCAGCCTCTGCTTAGATGTCCTCTCCACCTGGAAGCCATCCGGTTAGTAGCTTCGTATGGACGCTCTGACAGCCCTGTGTAAGCCAGTATCTTCCTGTTACTGTCCTTGATTTTAAACTTCACACGCACACACACACTACTGAGAGCCTCCTGACAACAGTGCTCACGTGTTGCCCAAACCTGTCATCTCCCAAGCCTTGGCACTTAGGAATCTGTTGAAAGGTTGAATGAAGACACTTACATCACCACCAAAATAATTAGCTGAAACCTCCCACCCTTCTGGTTTTCTGCTATTCCAGATTACTTGTCAGTCTTTTTGTGACTTGTCTCTTTGATGTTACCATTGGTATTCATTTGAATTTATATCTCTGTATTAAAATGCATGACAACATGGAACACATGCTGTATTTTCTTTCTCCTCTTTCATTATTTTCTTTTGATGTGGGAAATAAAATGATTATGACTTGCCTGAATTAAAAATAAAAAGCTCTTTGCTGGGCACGATGGTGCACACCTTTAATCCCATTGGGTTAGGAGGCTGAGGCAGGAGGATCCCGAGTTCAAAGCCAGCCTCAGCAATGGCGAAGTGCTAAGCAACTAGGGTGAGACTCTGTCTCGAAATAAAATACAAAATAGGGCTGGGGAAGTGACTCAGTGGCCGAGTGCCCCTGAGTTCAATCCCTGGTGCCAAGAATAAAAAACAATTTAAAAAAAAGCTCTGTTGAGGAAAAAATGTATACTGATATAACTCAAAAACATTGATAGCAGCTTATCAATAAAAGGACATTATTTTTAAAAATGTCACTTTTAACTTTTCATTTGAGATAATTTCAGAATCACAAATAAGTTGCGAACTGATACAAAGATTTCCCATCTTTCACTCAGATTTCCTACATGCTAATCACCACATGCATTTCTATTCTGTTTTAATTTGGAAGTTTGTTTTAATTTCCTCAAACTTTACTTAAATGAATGACATTGACAATTTTGATGAGTGTGGGCTAGTTATCATACAGTTTCTCTAAGTTTGGATTTGTCTGACTTTTCTTCCTACTTTAGCTTAGGTGATGCAGTTTTGTTAATACCACAGAAGAAACATTGAACTCTTCTCAATATATCAGTGTGATCACTTGGTTAAGGTGGTATCTGCCAGGTTTCTCCATTGTAAAATTATTATATATTTTCTTTTGCAATTAATAAGTATCTGGTGGAAAGATATACATGTTCTGCTTCTCATTATACTTTCTTTCCTTTTTCTTGGTATCAGGGATTGAAGCCAGGGCACTCTACGACTGAACTGCATCATCAGCCTTATTTAATTTTTTATTTGACATAGGGTCTGACTAAGTTATTGAGTCTGGCCTCAGAATTTTGATCCTCCTGCCTCGGCCTCCCAAGTTACTGGGATAACAGGCTTTGTGCAACTGTGCCTGGCTCTCATTATACTTTCATTCTCCAGTGTCAGCATCTATTGGTAGTCTCCACCTAAAACTATTATTATTCTGGTGCTCAATAAATAGTAATTTCTTACTTCCTTCTTTCTATATTTATTAGTTGGAATTCTACTGAAAGGAAGAGTTTTCCTATTATTTATTTATTCATTTACTTGTTGTGAGCAAGCTAATTTATTAACATAGATGAACGTATTTGAGTCTTTCCACAATGTCAGAACATATTGAATATCAACAGACTGACAAGCTACATCAATCATTTTCTTCACTTTATTTCACCAAGTACTCCGGTTTCACCTGGGATCGTGGTAATCACAAGTTATTTGTTCCATCTCAATCTTAATTACCAACACCTAACAGTTAACTATCTTAACCTTGAAAACCCTCAATACACAGCAAACAGTAATATTAAATTATAGAGAGTTGCAAGGAGTAAAGAAGCCGTAGAATTTGAAGAGACAATGCAAGGAGCCAATGGGAAGGGCCAATTCAAATGAAAGTCACTGT